TTTTCCCCAACAACCACCGGCCGGTCCCTTATTCATGCCGCACTCACAAACTCTCACAGGTTCACTGACCGGTCACGATGACGGACCCGACAATCTAGAAATCGGAGAACGCTGTTTTCTTTTCATTCCCTTTTTTTGTCCTTATTATAGTGACATCAGTGAGAACATTGATTTAATGTGTGTGGCGACACTGTTTTTTTAGGCAAACTGCACGTTGCAGGTTTTTATTAACTGTAAATCTAACGTTAACAAACTATCATCGGACAATTCTGAGCGGTAACGAAAGGGAAAGTAGATTTTAATTTTCCCAATGAAGTCTCTGTATTATACCTGCACTTCCGCCAGTCGCCATAGCTGCTTATTCGCGTGAAACGTACTCTCAGACAGGGGAAAGCCGAACGTAATATCACAAACGCGACCGGTAAAATATGAACCAAGTAGCCTTTTCAGATTTGGTTTCGTGGACTTTGTGCATTTTCTCAGGTTTCAGACATTTTTTTTTCAGATTTCCGGGTAATAAATTCCCGCAGTCCCCCTGCGTAGAATCCTCATTTGGTACTGACCAATTCTCTAGAGCAAGACAGATTTTAGAATGTTTTGCTTCGATACAAATTTTCTTTCTACATTCACAATTCAGTTTTCTAGATAAATGAATTAAATGCACAGATTTTCCAGCCACAGCAAAAACCCGAAGACAGACAGAAAGAAAGAATGAATGAAAAGAAAGAGGAAGATTATCTATCGTGAGTAGACAGATTTTTGCCGATATGCACGTGAAAAACTATTGCCGACCGAACAGTACAGATAGACCGTGGTCGAGTGTACGAAATGGGCAATCTGGCAGTTTCTAAAACAACTTATTGCCGAGCGTCCTAGAGTTGCCATAAATATCTGACAAGTTACGGTGGAAAGTGCCTCTCTCTCTCTCTCCCTCCCTCCCTCTCTCTCTCTCTCTCTCTCTCTCTCTCTCTCTCTCACTCACTCTCTCTCATTCTCTCTCTCTTTCTGTCTGTCTCTCTCTGTCTCTGTCTCTCTCTGTCTCTGTCTCTGTCTCTGTCTCTGTCTCTGTCTCTGTCTCTGTCTCTCTCTCTCTCTCTCTCTCTCTCTCTCTCTCTCTCTCTCTCTCTCTCTTTTAACGCATGGAGGTGAAATGATGATGCGGCAAGTACGGAATGTACGGATTTCCGTAAAAACAAACAAAGAAGAATGGAAGCACTGCATAATGTTTTTTTTCTTTTTATTCTTTCGGCACAAATTGCAAAACCAGTAGTTTTGACACCTTATCAGTATGGCGGTAGAACAGGCCCAAAATCGATATCTACCGGAAAAATCAGTAGACCCATGCAGCCCTGTAGAGGAATTGATCAATGATCCATACAGTCATCCAGCACAGACCACTCAAAACAGTTTAGAATTGTGGGTGGGGCTTATAGGTTATGAAAGATTACACGTGGGTGGTTGGTGGGTGCTCTGGTTTGGTCTGCTTCTTCTTTCCTATCAAACATCTATCATCCATATCTCTCCTTCTTCTTTCTATGTTTGTTACTCACTTGTAACACCTGTAATCTTCGGGCGCTCATATGACCTTATGCAGTTGCTAGCGCCATAAAACCTCTACTGAAACAAAAGATTACACGCTTCCCTCACAATCAGCTGAAAATTTATTGTTACTGACTGGTCAACTTGGGAAAGCAGTCGGAGAAACTATGCAAAATGATAAGTTCATTCATTGGAGGGACTGACCTGACAGATGAATGGATTATGACAGATTGACCATAACGTCAGGGGCCAATACAAAATTTAGGACAAAGCTTTGGACGACAGATTTGGGTGGCCAGCTCAGACAGGTGTTTTTGGCTGTTGGTTGATAAAAGTAGGAAATGGAAAGTGGCCGTGTGTACAGGTGGCCGTACAATACAGGGGTGGGCGTATGCTACTGGGGTGGTCATCATGGCAGACTCTACAGTTTTATCGCGACATAATTGAAGGTGGGGATCGCCTGGTGTCAGAGGTAAAATAATCAGGAATATGGACACCATAATTGGGTGACTTCCAAGGCTTGAGTGTCCCTAATTAACATTTTTTTTGCGTTTTCGACCAATGTTTGTTTTTCAGTAAAATCCACACAGAAATGTTTTTAAATGACTATAAAAGGAGTTGAGCCAATTAGACTAATTTTTTATTGAGTAGGTGTTAAACAGCACAATTGACTCAGTTTTGAGTATGTAAGTGCCAAAAAGTGATCACCGCAAATCTATTACGATGTTAAAAGGGCCGCCTGACATTTATAGAAATCTTTTAAATACGGTAAAAACTTTTATTTATTATTTACAAGTTCAATTTGTGTATATGTATACATCGACAATTATAACGATATATAACTATATATTATGAAACAATCCAATTTCTTCACAGAAACTCAAAAAACCTCTTTGGATTATCGATGTCAAAACAGTTTTGATGTTTCTACATTTGAAATATTTAATGTGTACATGGTCAAAATCAACATTGCGTCAGAAAGTGCAGAACAGAAAAACATGTGTAGCATGCCATGCAAAAAGGAGCATGTGGTTTGTGTGTTGGATGTTTTCACCATGTTTTGACATTTTCCTTCGGTGGGGTAGGGGCGTAAAAATAGGTCAGGAAAAAGCAGTGAGCCAGTGGTGACTTTTGGCCTGGTAGGAAAAGAGTGAAAATGAAGTTGCCTCGAGAGGTGATTAGGCTTAGTTGTAAGTTTGATAATTTTTTCATGTGAATGTGGGTGTTGGTAATTTAGTTTCTTGTATAAACAGATGATATGTGGGGTGTGCAACGCCAAAAGAAGGGAGAGTTCTGTCTGGTTTGCACCTAAACAGCGAATGTTCCACTAAAGAACTGTCATTTTACTTTGAAGGCACAGGTTTCCCTGATTTCTTTTAAGTGCTTGGCAACCGTGGTAATGTTTTGATACTGCTGCAACTTTGAGGAGGCGCAGGCTTTTTGCAGGGGAATAACAGTTGGGGGGAGGACTGAAGTCCTAAAGGGGGGGTAAGGGATGAGGAAGAGGAAGATGAATATGAGAGGCAGCATGGTGAAATCAGGCACTCGCCAAAATAATAAATGTAAAGAAACATTTACTTTTCCGCTAGTTTGGCAATTTTTATCAAAATTGTGTTTTTTAGGTCAACATCTTAAATGTCCATTTAAGAGCCCATTTCAGGGTTAATTATATTGAAAAATGTTGATTAAATTCATTAAAAATGTAAATTGTCAGTTTCCACAAGACTCTGAGGCTTTGTAAATAACCAAACTTTGGCGGCCATTTTCTCAATAATTTTACCTCTGAAACCAGGCAACTCCACCTCATTCAATCACAAATATCTCAACATGTACTCAGGATAAATGGACAATTCTTTCATCGAAAGCAAGGCAAATGAACAGGCTTTAAGGTGATACCAAAAACTCCACATGCCCAAAAACTGACTAGTGCCTGATTCCACGGCTTCGTGAAACATATAACGAAAAGAGTGGTGAGAAAGAAGATGTAGATGGCGATGAGGATGAAGAAGAGCCTGGTGAAGATGAGGATGGTCGTTTTTTTGTTTTAATAGGTTTTTACTGCGCTCGCAACTGCATAAGGTCATATGAGCACCAAGGGGTGGATGTCAATAGAGAAGTCCAAACAGGCTTACTCTGCTCATCTCTCGACTCGGCACAAAGTCTGCTTCGACTATCAAGGCACCTAGCAAATAGCAGTTCACAAGAGAGTGACAAACATACAATAGAAGCAGAGGTAAAATGACTACAGTAAGGATGAGGAAAGAAAAAGCAGTAGTTCCCCCTATGTTGCTCAGGCACAGTATGAGCATGACATTGATAAATCAGCCCATTTAAAATTCTACTGTGCAAAAGAACATAATATCCCCCCTCTTGGGAATGGCCTAAAGACACTTCAATCAGTTATTCAGTAGCACTGCCCAAGGGGTGGGGGGGAGATGATGGTGGTGAGGATGAGGATGGTGGTGAGGACAGAGGTGAAGATGACGAGGGTGGTGAGAATGAAGGAAGAAGTTAAGAGAGAGATTTTGGAGGAGATGAGTTGAGTGAGAACTCCATGCCCTCCTCCTGGCAAGAAATCTCGCCTTCCAACCAAGACTGACCAAAAAAAAAACAGTTCATACGGGAACCAGTCATTACCGATTGAGTGCAGTAGGCCACTACACCCGCCCATCTAGACCGAACCCAGGGCCAAAGTGGCGTGTTGGTGAGGGAAGCCACACCTCAGCCACCAGGATCCCCTTTTCCAGTTGTATGGGTCCCATGGGTCGCACCCCACGATAAACAGGGTGCCTTACTTACGTTGTGGGGATTCAGGGTCAATTTTTTGCTGGACTGGACCTTCTCTCGACAGGTCGGAAAAAAAGATAGGACAGAAGACAAAGCCAGAACGGTCAAAAGATGCAATCCCTACGTCAGAGAGCTAGTGATGTACGAGTGGCATCCCATCTGGGGAGAGGGGGGGGGCGGGTGTTATACCCCTTTTGATGGGACATACAATTATTTTTATTTTATTCCCCTGTCAGCTCATGGAAGGAAGAAAAAAGAAAGAAGAAAGAAGACAAGACAGACCATACACCTAAGTAAATGTCGTCCATGCGCATCCGAGTGTAGACATTCATGGGCAACATTTTACCATTAGAGGGGTTGCACCTGTTGCTGACGGAGCAGTGGGTTTATTTATTAGCCCCCAACCCACAATGGGACGAACCAATTTGATAAAAATTTCGTTATTTTGTCGAGCACCTTATTTCATCACAATACCACACATCAGATTAGATCAAATTAATGCTTAAGTTTGCCGTCTCAAAAATTTTGATCCCCACATTCATTTTTTGCTAACAAGCAACTCATTATGCAGTGAGACTGGTCCATTCCCTTGGCAGACATGCTCTTCTCAACTGAAAAAAAAGATCTGACAAGCCTAACCATCCAATCAATAAATGCAAGTCCAAACTACTTACCTCAACTTTTTCATCTTCTCTGAATTCTGGCTTGGCTTGACCAGGTGTGGGGGGCAGACGTATCAGTGAGAATTTCACTGTCCTATCAGGCAGCCAGCTTTTAAAGAAAAAAAAACGTGTGGGTGAAAATGTTGCATTCACATAATTAGTTTTACTAACAAAAGCTAGATCGGGTCTTTTTCAATCCAGAGGGAAATTTTCATTCAAAGCATGTATTTCTCACACCTTATTCTATGTATTTAAATATTTACCTAACTTGTCCCTAGAGAAAAGACAATACTGTCCAGAAATACGAAAAGGAGATTATTTCACTAGGAATCTCCTTTCAATGCTGTAGAAGAAGATGCCAGCTACTGTTTTTGACATTTAGGAGCTTACATAAGATCTGCCGAGCAAGCTTTTTTGTGCCTTCAGTGACTATTGATTACGTATTTTGCAGTTACCACTACAGTCAAACCTGTGTCAGACGGCCACCCATTGTCAAGGAGAAAAGTGGCCGTATAAGACAGGTGGCCGTCTTAAGCAGGACTGATCAAGATGAAGAAAACAAACCATTCCCATCTGAGGTCCTAATCGAAAGTAGCCGCATTGTTGTTGTTTTTGTTGTTGTTGTTGGTGGTGGTTTGTATTTTGTTTGTAATTCTTATTTTGTTTCTGATTTTGCACAAAGGTGAAAATAAAAATGAAATTTATCAGACGAGGAAGACAGAGTGCCATGTTAAAACAAACACATGGGTCGCCACCACTCGGAGAACGAGCGACGCTTCTGTCACAAGTTCATGTTGATGTCCTTTGTTACAGACTGGGTAAACAGTGACCACTCATCTCACTTACGATTTGTGTACGAGTTCTGGGCCGGGCTTATGGGTTATGAGGGATCACACGCTTACCTCACCAGCAGCTGGAAATTGGTAGCTATTGGTCAACAGTGGGAGGGGCCTATGCAACATGATCGGTTGGAGGGACTACCTAACAACAACGACAGTGGCTCGCCCACAACGCCAGGGGCCAATGCACAATTTATGACAAAACATAATGGAGCCTCTAAGGTGGCCATCTAAGACAGGTGTTATTGCTTAGTGTGATAGGGGTTGTGTGTTAAAATATGGTGGCCGCGACAGCGTTGGACAGGTGCCCATTTTATACTGTTAAATTATATAGAAAAAACGCAAGGGGGGAAATGGAAAGTGGCCGTTTGCACAGGTGGCCGTCTTGGCAGGTTTGACTGTATTTTGGTGTACCGTATCTTGTTTGTGATGTTTCGGTCTAAATGGTTCCATTGCAGGATACTGACAGTGCCTATTGATAAAATGTTATCTTAACTTATTGATAGTGGATTTCCCTGAGCTGCTAGGAAGGTTTTTATCTATTTTCGTTTATAGCTCAAACAAAGTTTCAAACAGTGCTTGGGGGTAACACGAAACCTGTATAACCATACTAGGCTGGTAATATTTTGGCCGGATATGCCCTAACCTTGAACTAATTGCTTTAAAGCTCACTATATGTTTTTTAAACTGGAAATACACGACCCTTCTCACAAGCAAAAATCGAGGAAAATGTAAAGGGGCAAAATATGGTTTTTAGCGGAATAAAGGCAAAGATTCAATTTCGCGGTCAAAATCGAATAATCAAATATATCGGAAATAATTGAATAAATCGTTTCAGAAGGGGGGGGGGGGGCTCTGCTCCCCTGATTACGGTTAGTTGAGAATTGCGGTAGGGCTAGTTGTCCAAGTGCAGTGTTATCTTGAAAACTTGATTTGCGACACGTTTTAAGGCCATATGAATTTATTTGATTATTTCCTAATTTATTCGGTTATTCGATAGGGACCTCGCAGTTGTACCATTACCGGAATAAAGGCTTGCACGATAAGCGAAAACGAGTAAAATCCACTTCGAAATATAAACCAGCATTAACGATAACAAACTGGAAAACTAAAGTAACTTTTATGCTTCAAATGATGTAAGTAGCCAATGACCCAAAACCGGTCCAGTGTTAACCACAAATGAAAATAGTAGAGTAATTCATTGGCATGTATCTCTCCACAATACAATTGAAAGATTGAAAACTCCAACTACAGCACTGAATGCACTGTTCCTCACTTAAGGAATGACTTGGAAACTTCGACCAACCTCAAAGTGCAAGTTGTCTGCAAAAGCCCATTCACCCTTTGACCTCAGTCTTCGCCATCCGAATCAGCAGCTGTGTCACTGATGACGCTGTCAGTACAGCTTTCTCCACGACAGTCCCCACAGGCTGCTGTACAGACCAGTCCATGCTGTCGACACCCATAACTTACTCCACAGCCTGTCTGTCTTGCATCTGCAAGTGACAACATGCTGCAAGTGTTCAGGGGCAACAGCAGCGTCAGTATAAACAGAGAGGAGCGTGCCATCTGTCACTTCCCAACCCCAGTCTTCTGCAGACAGCGACATAGCTTTCTCACTTTCAAGCAGTTTCCATATTTGGACTTGAAAATAAGTTCAAATGGAGTGGAACTTCGCAGTAGAGTGTGTTGGTGGCAACCTTCTGGGGTCCACTGCTGCTGCTTTGGAGTGGGCTAACTGGCAATAGTACCTGATGTAGCGCGGCTTGTTTAGGCTGTTGTCTTCTTCTCCACCATACAAAGCCACCAGAGCTCTCTCTCCCGTTTCGATGAAATCTTCTAGTGTGGTGCGCTTGGTGCCGCTGCGAAAGACGGGTGCCATCTGACAGAAAACGGCAGATTCCCTCAGATGCATCACCGGTTGCTTTTTGCCCCTTGTTGAAGAGGCTGCTAGTGGTGTCGCAGCCTCCAAGTGCATGGGCAAACAGAATGTTCTTGCAGACATGTGGGCCTACACTTTTTCGTGCTGCTCCAATGTCCCATTTTTTCCCTCCTGTGTCGAAATACACGTTGTTACACCCTTGTGGCTGGAAGTGGTACAACAGCAGCACAAGCAAGTCAGTGTCTCGCCCAACAACAGAACAGAAACAATATGTTCTGTGGCTTTTGTATCTGCATCACCATAGGCATGGAATATTTCAATTCCAATTTCCATGAAGGACTGTGCAAGGGTGTAGATAAAGCGCTGTTTGTTACCTGGGTTAGAGTGAAAGTTCTCTTTCGTGTCACAGGTGAGCATTTCACCATCAAAGTGAACATCGCAGGCTGTTTTGCGACCATTTTGTCGCCGAAGGCGTGTGGCGTCCTTGGTGGATGGGCCGCTGACATATCCGTCAAACACCACACTTGCTCGTGAGCCATAATTTCGAACGACGTAGTCAATGTAGCTCTCCGCAACTTGGTTGTAGGTAATTCCTCAGCCCAAAGAAAAACGATACAGAAGATCACCACCGTCAAGGACTACTTTGACACCATCTGGCAACTTGGCATTCTCCCAAGTTGAGAGTGACTACAGGCAGTCAGCCAAAAGATGCTTGCTGGCTGGACGGGGGAGTCCAGATGTCTCAAAGAGCGATGTTGGTATGTTTGTCAGCTCAAATTCGAAGACTAAATGGCACCCCCGGGGCAGTGCCACTGACTGTAGGGTCTTTAGGCCATTCCCAAAGAGGGGACATTTCTCATTCAAGCACTGTAGAATTGTAAATGGGCTGATTCATCATGTCATGCTCATCATAACAGAGCCTGATCTACAATCCTAATCCTTACTATTGTCATTTCCCTCTACTTCTTTTGTATATTTGTCACTCGATGACCCACTATTTCCGGGGTGCCTTGATAGTCGAAGCAGACCTTGTGCTGTTGAAGCCAGAAAGTTGAGCAGAGTAAGTCTGACTCCCTGTAAAGACTTCTCTGTTGACACCCACCCCTTGGCATTCATATGACCTTATCCAGTTGCGAGTGCTGTAAAACCCTCTACTAAAAAAAAAAATTTTTTAAGACTAAATGGAGCGTTTCAGGGTTGGTATATCTTGACCAATCTCTGCATGAGGTTAACAAGATCTGGGACAGTCACCAGCTCTATATCTTCATTCTCCAGATAATCAACAACTGCTTGGAAAGTTTCCAAACAGCATTCATTCCGGGGTCGCCCAGGCCCAGAGCACATATTTTTTGCAGCAGGTACTCCTTTCATTTCCCTGAAATGTGTGTAATAGGACGTTGTGGTAGACAGCATCATGAGCAAAAACATCCTGCATGTACTTTATCTTGCCTGTTACCTCTCTTGACCATCTGTCTGTTTCACCCCTCTTCTTGCAAAACTGCAGGGCAGAGCCCTGGAATTGCGTCGTCTTTACATACTTCAGAGGAGGACCGCTTCTGTCTTTCATACCTCTTTTCGCTTTTTTACCACAAAACAAACACAAAGGGATTTTTCCAGGTTCTCTGACTTGTTCTGGTGCACGACGTTTACGAGGTGGCTTTACTTTGCTAGTTTTGGATCCCTTGATGGAAAATAATGTCTGTTAGTGTGGCGATCTCTACAGGTCTTAAGGACATTGACACCTGACTTTGCCAACACAGCTTCGCGAAATTTTGCACTGATGCTGTTGATGGTTTTGCACCCCTTTTCTGTTACTCTGGCTTGGCATCAAACCCCTCTCCACAGATGATACAGGTCTTTTCTTCTTGCTCATAAAAACAATAATACTATGGAATTAAAATCGTCAAGTGAAACTGTAATACTAGCCCTACTTCCGCTAAGCTATTTTGGTAGGACAGTCACTACCAGTTGCCAATGAAAACATGGGGGGTGTGGCAAGCTAAACGTGTACAATCTTACCATGTGCACTAAAAGGGATGGTTGGGGCTCTGCATTCCCCAGCATACTGTACCTATTAAACCATATATTTTCAGAAAGAGCAAAGAAATGTGCAAACAAAAATACAAAACAAATAAACCATGGTTTTTAAAAACTGTATTATTTCTGCTTTGTTGAGATGTAAAGTGCCCTTGTGTGAGTGTGTTATACACATGAGGATTTGCATGCTATTTTATTTGAAAAATCATTTTTGGTTTCCATTGTCCGGGGTTGTCGAGAGTAAAAAAATATGGAACAAAAGCCTTCAGACAATTAGTGTTCAACAGAGGATACTATAACAATTGCAGTTAGAGTGCGTCTGGTACTACAACTCGCAAAGAAAGGAAAGGGGTCAAGTCTGTCGATCGATAATGCCCCTATAACTAGTTTCTGCTGGAAAGTAACAGCTGAAACGTGATTGGATGTTATTCTTAAGAGAATAAAGGCTGTCATGAGAATTAGTAGTTTTACCTTGAAAAAGGTGAAGGGTACCACCATCACACTTCCCGCCTGCATGCTCGCCAAACGTACATCTAGGCGTTTAAAGTTTCTAGGTCAGTGACCTACTTGGCGTAGAAGTACTCAAACAGCGGGAAAGAGGCTGGTATAGAATAAGTTGTTGAGAGGCTTATAAGGGGCTGAAAATAAACATAGCCCGACTAAATGACTAAGCTCATATTTTTTCCTCTCACAGAATTAGAAGCCTATTATAATACACCTACAGTTATAGCCTATAAGACAAGATAAAAGGTAATAATTGTACACATGAAGACTAGCGGGAAAGGCGCATTTGAGTTACCAGTTTGCCATCCTAAACCAGCTTGACTCTGCACCGAGGCAATAAATGATGCGCGCAGAAAAGCGAAAGTTCTCAGAAAAGTGCAGGATCAGTGTATGGCAAGCGAAAGTTGACACAAATAACGGAATGGGAAAAACGAATTTCACAATTTTAAAAAAATTGGGGGGGGGGGGGGGGGGGGGGTAAACGCGCATGTCAATTCTCCTTGATTGTTCATAATCTTTAATTGACTGGTATCATCTACTTATTTTCCAAAAGACAGCTTTAAAGCAATTTGTTCAAGGTCAAACCAAAATGTTACTAGACTATACGTTTTCAGGAAGTATTGAGTGAGCTACATTAGAAGCATTCTTCACATTTTTGAGAATTTTGAAATGATCTTGATCTTTGATGAAATTTAATTATTTCTTCTGAGAAAATTTGTATTAAAAATCATGAATTTTGTCTTTTTTTTTTGGGTCTAGATTTAATTGCTTTGCTTTCAGACAGGTATACTTTTCATGGTTTCAGATACTAAACTGTAACTGGGACAGAATGAGCTACATTAAGAGAGTTGGGGCGAGCGGACGGACGGGTTCGTTACTCGCGGACTCAGTCAGAGCGAACAGGTAACGGACGGCCATGAGAGCGAACTGCGAACCTCAAAACAGTTCGTTTTTTTGGGTCCGCTCCACAATTTGACTCTCTCAGCGAGCGGACTGCGGACCTCAAGCCTCAAGCCAGTTCGTTTTTTGGGTCCGCTCCACAATTTTATCCACTGAGAGGCGGGCGAACGGACGAACTCTAGCAGACGAGATACTCGACGCGAGATTAGACCCGTCGTCTATTGTTTGTTAATTAGGCCTGATGTTTCAAACCACTAGCGGTGCCACAGGGAGTGAGAGAGGCTGGTGACGTAGTACTATGTGTGTAACCTTTCACCTCCTGCGTGGGGCACACTGTGTACGTTCCAATTATCGGAAAGGCCGGGGGGGGGGGGTCCGCCATGAATGCCTAGCTACAATGTGGGGCAGGAGGGTGATTTTTTTTTTTTTTTGGGGGGGGGGGGGGGGATTGTAAGAAGTAGGCAATGAAAGGAGTCGTTCCCGTCCGTCCGTCCGCCCGCCCGCTCGAATGCATGGAGTCTCTCTGTCCGCCCGTCCGCTCGCTCGCTAAGCGAACTGTTGTCTCTGCCCGATGTGTAGCGAGTAGCGAGTAACGAACTACTCTTCACAAACGGACAGTTCGTTACCCGTCCGCTCGTTTGCGGGTAGTGCCAGCGGGTAGTTCGTTACTCGCGGATGCTAATTTTGCAAGCCCGACCCAACCCTACATTAAGAGCATACTATCATTTTAGTTTTTGAACAGAATGGAATTTCTTTGACCTTGACATATGACCGTTTTTATAATCTCTTGACTAAAAATTGCACTAAGAAGCATCGAAAGCCCCTTTTTGGTGGATAAATATCTACACAAATTATTCTTGTGTTTCTCAAATCATAAACTATTACTGTATTGGTACTCTTGGAACATGAACCTAGTTTAGTTTTGTTTAAAAAAATATGGGAGTCACTATCACCATTTTGTGCCTCTTCACACATCAAAAGAATGTAACCAAAAACAGTGAAAAACAGAAGTTTAATACTTGTCTCAATATAATGGAAAAGCTCCCCTCTAAAAAGTTAATCACTCAAAAACCAATGTGTTCACTCACTTGTTTTCGAAAGACACCAAGGCTTCATCCTCGAAGAAACATTTTATATATCCCTGAGGAAGGAAAGAGTGAGTAAAGGTAAAAATTCAGGCAATGCAAACTGTCAGTAAGATGAAGACCTTAGTCTCCCATCACTAAAGAGTCAAGAAGCAAAAGGAGAGTTTGTCTACGCAGTAGGCATACCTGATACGCCCCAACAATTTGCTGCACATATGCGCTATAGGCATACCATCTAGGCACAAAAATTGTTTGTGATACAACTACAACTAAAAAAGAGTGCTGTCTTTTTTCAGTCAATAACAAATCGCCACGCTGAGATCATATCTCCACAAAATTGCGCCAGCGGACAACCCAGATCCGTCCTGTCGAGCCTGCAAGGAGGAGGACGAAACTATGGACCATGTGTTCCTGAGATGTCCCGCCAACTATCGTGCTAGAACCCGTCTGCTGGGACATTTCAGTAACCCACTTTAAGCACTTTTCAAGGACCCCCGGGCGAGTGTTGAGTTCCTGTGTGCTGTCGGCATCGCTGACCATTTATGAAGCCACAGCGCCAGGAGAGAGAGAGAGAGAGAGATATGCTTGAAAAGATCATGCTTATATGTCCCAATGGTCCTGAGATCAAAGAATTCAACCCAGAACCCTGCATTGCCAAGTGGCAAGAGATGTGTCTCACAAATAGACGCTCTGATAATATAGAGCACTATTCCCTGAAATCATCTTCTCTGGTGATACTTTTTAAAATCACTTGTGTTTTCCCATAAGGGACAAATAGTAAGCCAGTCTTTTTCTATATTGTGTGTCAACATATTTTCAATATTCTGATCATCTAGTGATTTACTTACTTTTCATTCATGATTTTACAAATTTTCCGATAACTCTATATACTTTTGTTGAGAGCAAGAATAAATTGTATTGTAATTATAAACGTTGTGATGCACGATCCAGTATTACCAACTTTAATCAACAAAATGATCACCAACTTTATTCAACAAAATGATCACCTATAATTTTTGCCTTGGTGCCCTAGAAAATTGCCTCGGTGCCCTCTGATTTTTAGGCCCCACCGAGGCAATTTTTGCCTGCCCTCCTGAACACCTAATTCAAGCCCTGGTATTCATAAATTTGTGTCATCATTGTTATGAACCAACTTTTTGCTATTTTCGTCATTCAAGTCAGAATAAAATTAAACCAAGACCACATTGCATTTATATATATAAACAGCTTTGGCAGTTACTGAGCCTGAAAGAGCAATCATTCATTAAGCTATATATAATATTTAAAGATTTATTACATAAAGTTGATTTTGGACCTCATTTGTCACACCCAGGTATCCCACCTTTTGGAAATGCTCTCATAGATTCTAGATCTAGACTAGACCCAGGGTACTACTTAAGAATGAAGGTCCCGTTTGCAGGGTTGGGTTGATTTAAATCAGTTGATTTTTTTAATTTAAATCAACTTGATTTTTTGAATAAAAATCAGTGATTTAAATCAGTTTTTTGTTTTTTTTTAATTCAGTTTTTACTCAACATTCAGAATTCCTTTCCTTGGTTTCATAAAACAGATATACGGTTTAGCAGACGAATATAATCATGCTTAAAAGTCTGCTTTCCTCCCTTTCACAGTAAAATAATACAGTATTCAATTTACTTTTTTTTCCATAATTGAAATCAGAGCTGGGTTGATTTAAATCAGTTGATTTTTTTTATTTTAATCAATTTGATTTTTTAAATAAAAATCGATTTTTTAAAATAAAAAATGTATTCAGTTTTTACATATTTAAAAATTCAGAATTCCTTTCCTTGGTTTTATAAAACAAAGGTTTAGTGTTTAGTAGACTAATATAATCATGCTTAAAAGTCTGCTTTCCCCCCTGTCACTGTAAAATAATACAGCATTCAAATTACTTTTTGTCATTGAAATTAGCATTCTCTTTTCAGACAAACAGCGCGCGCGCGCACACACACACACACACACACACACACACACACACACACACACACACACACACACTTATGGTCAAATTCAGGGGCCCCCTGAACCATCACCACCCCCCCCCCCCCCCTGCTTGTTAAAAATAAGTAAAGTTTTACCGCTCACGGCGCACCGGCGGCGGAATTTTAGTTGCCGCTGGGGGTTCCCTGCCTGGCGCCTTATCACGTCGGGGTCACGGGGGGCAGCTCCCTATCGCCGCTCTGTCTGGGCCGACTTAATTTTTGGTACTTTTCAACGTACAATTTAAGGTGTATCCTTGTATTTATGGTAATTCTCATTTAGTGCACCCAAAGCACGCATTTCTGCTCTTGAGACTCAAAAAAGAACGGACGTTGTAACCTGTCTGGTTATTTCGTTAGACGCGCTGGAGTCGGCAATGCTAAATTAATTGTAATTTTTGGGGGGACTAGCGTGAATGAAAAAAAAATCATTGTAAAAAAAAGGCCTCGTCAAAATCGGTCGAACTTTTGGAACACGAACGACATAGCATTGGTGCAGATACTCAGAAAAGATGGTATCTGCGCATATAATTGAAGGCTGTAAATTTTGCAATTTTATCCATCGGGCACACAATTCGCTATGAAGTAATTCCTCCAAATACAACTTTATGTGTCTAATATAATCATGAATATTCGCATATTTTCTCGAAAGGTTATAAAAGTTACAATGAAGTTTCTCTATGGAAAGTACAAATCGATTTGTATGAGGAGATGTATGAGGAGTATTTTAAGAATTAAGTGGCAGGAAAGAATAAGAAATGAAGAGCTGTGGAAAAGGACAGGACAAAAGGATATAGAAGTAGAAATAGGACTAAGAAAGTGGCGATGGATGGGACACACCTTAAGAAAGCCCAGCGGAAACATCACAAGACAGTCACTGCAGTGGAACCCACAGGGAGCACGAGGCAGGGGCTAGATGCGTGGAAAGGGACATGAGAGAAATGAAGCTCACTTGGAACGAGCTTGGAAGGATGGCTCAGGACAGAGATAAATGGAAGGAGCTTGTATGTGGCCTATACCCTGCCAGGGGTGAAAGGCATTGATGATGATGATGACTCTATTATTATTTTTAAAAGGCCGGCACTATTTCTCCGAACGTTCGGGAAAATAAAGCTAGGCACTATTTCTCCGAACGTTCGGGAAAATAAAGCTGGGCACTATTTCTCCGAACACTCTGAAATCACATCCTTTCCCCCAAATTTCGGATATTATATAGAGTATAGACCTACCAAAGATTGTTCGTATACAATATGGTTCAATCGGTCCAAAAATGTCCGCAGTAAATATTTATATAAAGAAATACTACAGTTCCAAACAGTTTTTCGCTACAGATATGACGTGCTGCCTTTGAAGGGTGCTGCTCTTAAACTTAATGTGTTGTGTTCACTCGTGTGCTGTCTAGATCTAGATCTACGGAGGGTTATTGATAACGACACATAGAACTAGCTTCAGCGTTTGTCGCTGCCGCGACCAATCAATCGTGGCTCGATTTTTTGGTCGGGGAATAAAAGTCAAATTTAAAAAAAAAAAGAAAGAAACCGAACCTCTTTACTTTTGATAGAAAGTTACCTTAGCTTCACTTAGTCTCTTTCTAACTTGTTGTCACCACGTTGATTTGAAATATACGTTAGTTACTTTTATTTTTCCCTCTTTGACTCTTTGTGGTGTTTTATTTTGTTAGTGTGTAACTTTTTTTCTTGTTATATAATTATTCTGATGTGTTGTTTTTCTATCAATTTTTTTTTTGTTGGGGAAAAGGGGGGGGGGGGGGGGCGTTGCATAGTGTAACGTCATTTAATTTGATGTTCCTAGTACCTACCTTCATTAGATTCTATATATATATATATATATATATGTATATATAGATTTAAATGTTTTATGTTAGAGCGTACGTTCCACCAAAACCGATTACATGTACTGACACTGGCAGGCCCCTTAATGTGTGTGATTCCATAATTTACATGTAATATCCTGTACTTTAAAAAAAAAAATTTACGCACTTTTATGGGTTCTAGGTTGACACACACCCTTATCTGTTAATTTTTGTGGTTGTTTATGGGCTGTTCGACTAATTTTGATTTAATTTTGTTGTGAAACCTTTCTTTTTCACGTTTTTACACTCATCTAAAAATCTCTAGACTAGCTCTTGAAAATTGAAATAGATATAGACCCAAAAATTTGCTCCTGTGTGTGTGTGTGTGTGCGTGTGTGTGTGTGTGTTTTTGTGTGTGTGTGTGTGTGTGTCTATGCATGTGCGTGTGTGAGTGTGTCTGTGTGTGGTAGTAAGTGTGTAAGTGGAGAGTGAGGAGTGAGTGTATGTGTGTTTTTCGGGCTTTATTTCAGCCTTTATTCAGTAACAGTTCAAAGTATACAAAGATAAAAATTCAAAGTATACAAAGATAAAAAACAGTATACATTCCCTCCAGTGCTCATGAGTCGTTCCTCTCTTTCAGTTTCACTCATTCATTCAATTCCCGTGTTCTCTCCCGCGGCTCATCCCCGTTCTCATGACTTTCACACCCCACCCCCTCCCTCCAGGCACACACAAAGAAAATCTCACTCATTCCCTTGCTCCTTGCGAACCATGGACAATAATATAGGTAAAACACTGCCTTAGCAACATTCCTTTCTTTCGTGAGCTGTGGACCGGGCCAGGGGGGTCGGTGTCATCGTCTTGTAGTTGCTGTCGCCTGTGGATACACTCGTTAATTCTTCCTTTCACCCGCTCTGTCACTCACAGTGTGAGTCACACTGTCTCTCCATCCACAACTCAGCTCGTCATACGTTCAAAAGTTGCCCACTGATATATGTTTAGTTAGTGTGTGTATAAGTTTGTGTGTGTACATGTGCAGGATGGTGGTGGGTGTGTGGTGGGTGTTACCGAAGGTTGTATGTAGGCGGGCTTGCCATGTGGTGTTCTTTCCCAGATCAGAGCCAGAGGCAGAATGAAAGTTGGCGCCGAACTCTCGCAATAAATAGGCAAAAAATCACGAGACCGGAAGCCGGAAACCGTTCGGAGAAATAAAGATCGGCACTATTTCTCCGAACGTTCGGAGAAATAGTCACTTCATTTAAATAATGCACAAATTCTTTATTCTTTGTTATAACGATTGGCTCTATATCTTATGTGTGCCCGAAGGATGAGAAACTACGGATTTTATGTTACAATCCGGGCACCCCCCCCCCCCCCCCCCCTTTGGGCAAAAACGGCGAAACTGAACTGCTTTATTCTCTTTCATCCTTGAGAGGGCCTCATATGCAAATAACTCTCCAGCCTTCAGAGTTTACCAAAACGTAGAATCTAGGCCACAGGCTCCTTCATCCACAACCAATGTTAACTCTTCCGGGGAAAGAGCTTCACGCTGTTTTGCTCAGTTGATGAAGAAAAGGCTGTCTTAAGGACTATTTTTAGCAAAATATCGCCGTAACTGTTGTTTCAACGAAAGTAAGGGAGGTTGCTTTAGGTTTGTGTGCCACTCTTTTGGGGCTAGATTCTAGAATCTAGATTCTTGATTTAAAAACAAAGTTTTAAACGATCTTTTTGTACTACTACTACAGTGCCCGACAGCTAAAAAAAAAGGCCGGCACTATTTCTCCGAACGTTCGGGAAAATAAAGCTGGGCACTATTTCTCCGAACACTCTGAAATCACACCCTTTCCCGCATATTTCGGATAATAAAAATAAAATATAGATCTATAATTATATTATAGGCCTACCAAAGATTGTTCGTATACAATATGGTTCAATCGGTCCAAAAAATGTCCGTATTTATATGAAGAAATGCTACAGTTCCAAACAGTTTTTCGCTACAGATATGACGTGTGGCCTATGAAGGGTGCTGCTCTTAAACTTAATGTGTTGCGTTCACTCGTGAGCTGTCTAGATCTAGATCTATGGAGGGTTATTGATAACGACACATAGAGCTAGCATCTGCGTTTGTCGAGGCCGCGACCAATCAATCGTGGCTCGATTTTTTGGTCCCCGAAAAAGTCAAAAAAAAAGAAAAGAAAATGAAACTCTTTACTTTTGAAAGAAAGTTCACTTAGCTTCACTTCGTCTCTTTCTCACTTGTTGTCACCACGTTGATTTGTTGAGAATACGTTACAGTTACATACGATTTGTATTGCTGTTCCTCTTTTATTTTTCGTTCATTTTTCCCTCTTTGTGGTGTTATATTTTGTTGGTGTGTATTTTTTTTTCTTGTTATTGTTCTGATGTGTTGTTTTTCTATTAATTTTTTTTTGTTGGGGAAAAGGGGGGGGGGGGGGGGGTTGTATAGTGTAACGTCATTTAATTTGATGTTCCTACAAAAGGTATTGTGTAACGTCATTTAATTTGATGTTCCTACCTTCATTAGATTCTAATTATATATACCTGTATAGATTTAAATGTGCTATGTGTTAGAGCGTTCCACCAAAACCAATTACATGTACTGACACTGGCAGGCCCCCTGTGTGTGGTTCCATAATTTCCATGCAATATCCTGTACTTTTTTTAACAAATTACGCACATTTAGGGTTAAAACGGTCAATCTTCTTCGGACAGGTGGACACACGCCCTTATTTGTTAATTGTTGTGGTTGTTTCTGGGCTGTTCTAGTTTTGATTTCATTCTGTTGTGAAACCTTTCTTTTTCACGTTTTTACACTCATCTAAAAATCTCTAGACTAGATCTAGATCTAGATCTAGCTCTTGAAAATTGAAATAGATCTAAACCCAAAAATTTGCTCCGTTTTTTTTTTTAATGGACGATAACCGTCCACTCAATAGAAAAGAGGGTCAGATTTCTCCGTCTCTCGGGTGCCTCAGGTAGTACCCGCCTCGCTAAACCAGTGGGCACACGGCCGGAGGAGAAGCTGAGAACAGATACCACCTTTGATTTGCTCCTTCCCAGACCTCGCAGAATGACGGAATGAAAGTTGGCGCCGAACTCTCGCAAATAGGCAAACAATCACGACCAGAGCGGAAGCCGGAAACCGTTCGGAGAAATAAAGATCGGCACTATTTCTCCGAACGTTCGGAGAAATAGTCACTTCGAAAAAAAAACGTGCTGCCCGAGGCCGAACCGGTACGATTACTCTAGATCTAGATCTAGAATCTAGATCTCTAGACTCTAGATCTAGAATCTAGATCTAGCCAGATCGAAATCTAGATCTAGATATCTAGAAATATAACTAAGTTATTTTGGAATAAAAGCAAAGAAAATCATAAACTGTGAAAACCAGTACGATGAAACCAGGCGATCTTCAAAACTTAGATTTTGAGACTTAGAATCTAGATCTAGATCTAGATCATCTAGATCTAGATCTATTCTTGATCTAGGGGAGGACTTCCATAACGAGCGACCACCCCATCAAACACAATAAAGAAGAGGCCTAGATCTACCCCTAACCCTAACCCTACCCTTAACCCTAACCCTACCCCAAGCCCTCAATTCAGCTCTGTCTCATAGTGGTCGCATAGTAAAGGGGAACGGAATTTGCTCTTGAAAACTTATTGAAATAAAAGCAGCATCGGATCAAAGTAACGGTTGCATATCCCATGGTTATGAAAGTCTGCTAATTTCTTAATTCCACTTACGCTAATATAACTAGAACAACACATTGTCAACACACAAATTACCTTATAAAAGGTACCATAGCCGTCGTTTCCACTGATTTCAACCGAAAGATCCTCCATTTTGGGTAAGAATGGAAGAATGCTGGGAAATTCTTAACGCGTTGTGATCAGTGAGCTCTGTGATTCGCTCGTTAGGCTTTACTTCTCTTGGTGATCTATTTGGATATCGCTGCTTGATTGATTTCACATAGATATATCTTGGCCTAATAGGCCTATGTAATTATAAGGGGATTTAGGCTAGGACTGTTTTAATTAGATCTAGCCGATAGATCTAGATCTAACTGCAAAGGCGCTGTTGTAGTTTGCATTAAAAATGGTTCGATAACATGTAGATCTATAGAAATTCTATCTAAATAGATCTACTACGCACAGAACTAGCTACTAGATCTAGATCTAGATCTACTTCTTGTAAAGAAAGGTGTTTAATCATAATAAAATTATTTCAAATTCAAAGCTTACAGAGATCTTGCGGTTGAACTCTCTCTCTCTCTCTCTCTCTCTCTCTCTATATATATATATATATATATATATATATATATATATATATATATATATATATATATATATATCCGTGTGTTTAGAATGTGGAGTTGATTTTGATTTTGTGTGCCTGGGTATATCTATGTGTTTGTAGCCTAGGTTTTATTTTTAGCTTTAGTTAGAGTTTGAGAGTCGTAGGACTACTTAAAACACAATTGGGTAGAATGTGCGTGCGCGCACCCGCATTTGTGTGTGTGTGTGTGTGTGAGAGAGAGAGGGGGAGAGAGGGAGAGAGAGAGAGAGAGAGAGAGAGAGAGAGAGAGAGAGAGAGAGAGAGAGAGAGAGCGGTTCTAAATGTATTGCCTTACGTTTTTGATCACCCATAGTTCTGTTGTCAGAGGCGGCTCGTGGGGCTAAAAAGTGGACGTGCACAATAATTAAAGCTATCGCATGCTGAAGATAGTCAAGGGCATAATAAATGAGACGGTGTATTAGGATCTTTAATTTGGGTTGGTAAGGGAGGACCTCGTGCTTCTATTTTCATTCTGTTTACTTTGATTTCTAGTACTAAATTTGTTTTTTAGCTAAACATCAATTTAGTTCATCCTCTATTGGAACTGAACACTCAAGTAATAACTTTCACCCCTCCACTACAAAACCATTCAAAGACACAACTTGTAGAACGGCCACGTTAACTCCCCTCAGGTTAATGGTCACAGAGTCACTTAAAATAGTGGCAAGACAGACAATGAACCAATCAGTCAATCACAATTCACTTGAGCTCTCCGCTGGATTGCTCCGGGGCTCACATATCCCCAAGAGCGATTTATAGGTCAGGTTACACTATTGAATAATCCTATTATGTTTAGCTAAAGCGCGTGGACTTTGACATGACATAGTAGATGTTTTACGGCGCTACAGACACAGAAATGACAGTTATGGCGCAGGAAGGACACTGTTTTGATATAATATTTGGCTAGTGTTTGTTTCTGTTTAGCTCCAATTTAGGGAGCGGCAGGTTTAATTGGCGGGCTAAATCTGGAACTACACCAAAAGTGGGCATTGCCCTACCTATAGGAGAAGTTTGGTTTCATTGGTGTGCATGTATTATGTGTTTGGTTATAGAGAAAACTTAAAGTTTGGTTTCATTGATGTCCATGTATTATGTGTTTGGTTACAGAGAAAACACTTCTTGTCTTTTAAAGAAACTGCAAAGAAACTGAACAAAAACTCCAAAAACTTTACCTTTAATTTTCTCAAAACAACAATTTTTGGGATAGCCCCCTTGTGCTTAAAAGCGACCAATTTACAGGAAAAGCGTTGCGAACGACAGAGTAGCCCCAACTTCCCCTTTTTGAGGCGAGTCCCCTCTGAATTCAAGCCCCAAAAAGGTTGGTGACTGAATTTTAACGCCGCGCAAAAATCTCTCGTACCTTCAGTCATCAAAAAATCCCAGGTGTGTGTACTCACTTGCTCACTTACTTTACTTGTATTTTTATCCACCACATATATAATGTAATTATTTATATACCCTTTTGGATGTCGCAGGAAGAAAGAGACGTCTCTCTGCCACCAGCCAGAGAACTTGGGTCAGGGGGATGCTGTGAGTTGTTAATGTTTCCCTGACTCCATCTATCCAGGTCTTTCTCGGTCGCCCTCTAGCCTTGTTGCCGTCCAATTTTTTTTTATGTAGGCACGTTGTGCTGGGTGGTATGTAGGTAATAGCATGAGATGTCCGAACCATTTGATTAACTCGCTTGCACAATATACAAAAGGGCTTGGCCTCTTGTGTGTATCCACTTGCACACGATACCGGTACAATATTATAATGGCTTAATGCTCTATTAAACGGTGATATTCACCATACACTGTACTTACAACGACGTCGGTATATATTGTGAACCCAGTAACGGCGTTTGTTCAGTCTTCGTTTTCTCAACCAATATAAAACCATCGACTGATATATTTCTTCGTCCATCTTGCACAGACAGGGCTTGGCCATTGAGAAAATGTAATTGATCACACTGATTCAAAAGAGTGAAGGTGTCACCCCTTTATGGGGGACGTCGGGGGAGGGGAGAGGCCTTCACTCTGTCGCCGACTTTCCTATCCCCTTGCTCTCCCCAAAAGGGGAGTGGAGAGGCTTGGGGCCAGCTCCAGAAAGGTCACTCCACTTTGTCTGCACCTTCAGTCTACTTCCTACTAAAAATTGACCTGCAGACCGGCGCTTTAAAAAATAGGCCAGTCACGATATTATATAGACCGTTTTACCGAGGGCTAAACAAGCGAGAGGTATCCGGCTGACGGAGTCTGGGCTGCCAAAACAAAGACAATACCATCCCCTCCCATTTTCCCTCACCCTGGCCAGACACTGTCGAGTTCTATTATAATTAGTTACTATTTGACACAGTTCCCCACTTCACTTATAAGAACGTTTGATTAGGGTCGATCGGTCAGGGGACTCGGGTAGTGGAGCACACTGGAGCTGTTCACCCTTGGGTACTCGCGGCCTAGTAGTACTTGTATTGTGAAAGACGCGTCCCATGTGAGTAAGCCTTTGGTTTACCTCTCTGAAATCAAGATCTTCGTGCGTTATCGTAAAGGCACACCCTTCTCGGGGTTAACCTGGTTAAGCCTAGACCTCGCGGTCCAGGAACAGAACACAAAGGATCTAAAGGAGACAACCTTGATAAAAAAAATCCCGAAGCCTAAGGAGGTCGAGGGTGGAATCCAGGAGCACGACATTTCGACAGCACCTCCAAGTATCCATGGAGGATATGGACCCAAGCTTATGGAATCATCTTGGAGCCTAGAAGCTGAATGGCTGAGGGGAGTACAGTCACGAGCGAAGACGGTCTGGCGTGCGAGCGGGGTGGCACCAGGCGGACGGACCTTCTGGCTCCCAGCCCCATGTCTAGTATGAATGAGGCTCTGCTGGATGTACAGAATACTTCCTCAGTATTTTGCAAACCCACAATGAAGGATCTAATTTATAAACAGGGTTCTCGCAGGAGCTACGGTTTTCGTGCACCTTGCTCGAGCTCCTCTTTAGGAATAAAGCCAAAAAAGGAAACGTGGGAAAAGGGGTGGGAGGGGAGAAAGAGAAGGGCGGGATCTAGAAAGACACATTTAAAGAATCAGCGGCTGGGAAAGAGTAAACCTCATAGGATACTCTACTGGAATTGGCGTAGTCTGCAGCAGAGAGGGCTCGTGACTGAGAACCTATGTCCTATGTTACGGAGCAGACATCATATGCCTCCAAGAAACCAGACTAGGAGACAGGAACTTCAATGTTGCCGACTTTGCAACGACTCTTTACAACAGTGAAGGGCATTCACAGGTCACCCTGCTACGATCAGCAATCAGACATAAGGATTGGAATCGATGGGCGTCAGAAAACCTACACCTGCTTGCAGTGGAACTCACTGACCAGCCTGTAAGAAACGTTGTCAACGTCTACGCCTGCAAGGGAACAGTCGCTGGGGAAGAATGGGCCAAACTTTGCGAGATAGAGGAAACGCTTTCCGGAAAAACAATTATATTTTATGGCGACTTCAACGCGCGAGGGAGCGATTGGGGAAAAACAGTGGTAAACCCCCAAGGGACGAAACTGGAAATGTCAATGGCAGTGGCCTCTGCATAGAAAATGGAAGCTTCAGGATGGAGTCTCCTCTAGTGTGTACTGTTTGCGACGCCCACATCATTGTCTTTTTTGGAGCCATCTGTGAGGGCATTTTTCTTTAAGTTTTTTTTTTTGTATTCTGCTTTAAATGTTTTGGAGTTGGTGCAAGCTTTGTCGTCTGTGGTCAGCTGTAAGTCGTCTACTTTTTGCCTTGGTGAGGGGCCAAGGAGGGAGGTCGGGGAAAAGAAATTGTTGGATGCCTTGTTTGGGAAAGTGTAAATTTTTAAGGTCCTCAGGGATTCTGAGACCGAAGGGTTTGATGAGGTTTTCGTTGTTTTGGAATTTGTTTATAGTTTCTTGGTTTGTTTTAAAAATGCAGTCGTGTGCTGGGTTCTGTGGTGTTGAGCTCTGTTTAATTGCGTATTGTAGTGAGAGTTGTGTGCGTCTGAGTATGAGTGATGGTATGTTTGCCTCAGCCTGGAGGCTCTCCACCGGAGAAGTACAGAAAGCCCCCAGAGCGAGGCGGAGTCCTTGGCTTTGCACTGGGTCTTGCATTTGTAGGATGTGCGGTTTTGCCGATCCGTAGACTTGACAGCCGTAGTAAAGCCTAGATCGGACAAGGGAGATGTACAAGTGTTTTGAGTCCCTGCCAGACTCCGGATGTGATAGAATTTTCTAAGCGTTTAACGCTTTCTGACACCTCGCACGGAGGTCTTTTATGTGTGGTATGAATGTGAGTTTTTTGTCGAATATAACGCCGAGGAAACGAGCCTGGTCCTGGACGGGAATCCTTTCCCTGTATAGTGTCAAATCCGGCGGCAGTACACGTCTGCCTGATCGACAGAAGTGTACTGCGAGGAAAACTTGAAACCATTATTGTTTGCCCACTTTTTGAGTTTGTGCGTTGCAGCTGCCTTTCCATAGATCTTAGGTGAGGATTTTTCGAACAGCAGTATATTAAAA